CTTCTCCTCTCAGTAGGGTGTTTTTGCTGATCCATGTGAACAGCAGAGGTGAGGACCTGCACTGGCACCTCCCATACTCTCCCTTCCTTAAACGCCTTCACCATTTCTGGGCTGCTCTTCTTCAGGCAGCCCCTGGCTACCACATGGCCAAGATGATCATCAAACTCATCACATCCGTCGGCGAGGTCATCAACAATGATCCCTATGTGGGGGACAAGCTAAAGGTCATCTTCCTGGAGAACTACCGGGTATCCTTGGCCGAGAAGGGTACGTGTGGTCTTGTGTAAGCACACGTCAGGAGCTGGGTATGTCCCAGCTGGACCCAGAAGCAGCCCAAAGAGGCTGTCATTGCAAGTCACCTGGTGCTCCCTTAGGAGAGGCCTTAGGACAGGGCAGGGTTGTTCTGCTGCCCTGGGCCCAGGCCGTGGGGAGCTGTGGCCACCAAGGATTAACTAACTCCTACCTCTCTTGCACCCAACAGTGATCCCGGCAGCAGATCTCTCCCAGCAGATCTCCACAGCTGGCACAGAGGCCTCGGGTACTGGCAACATGAAGTTCATGGTGAACGGGGCCCTCACTATTGGTACTATGGATGGGGCCAACGTGGAGATGGCCGAGGAGGCAGGCGAAGACAACCTCTTCATCTTTGGCATGCGAGTGGAGGATGTGGAGGCTCTGGATCGGAAAGGGTTGGTGCTGAGTGTCCAGTGCATACTAGGGCCCATAAGATGGGGATACAGGTCCCATCCATGATCTCAGGGCAGGGGGGGACGACACTCTTCTCCTTGGGCAGCTCTGGAGCAGGCTAAAAACAGGGGGCTAGAGGCAGCCTCTGTCTCGCCCATCAAGGATGCAGCCCCAGGGGTGAGCATCAGTCCCTACAGCCCATCTCTGCTGGGCGCAGGTACAACGCACAGGAATACTACGAGCGGCTGCCAGAGCTGCGCCAGGCTGTGGACCAGATCAGGAGTGGGTTTTTCTCGCCTCGAGATCCCAGTTGCTTCAAGGATGTTGTGAACATGCTCATGTACCATGACAGGTGAGTGCTTGGGTGGGCTGCTCCTCCCCCCATGTCTCCCTGCACCTGCAGGAAGATGTCTGTGGTGCCCTGTCTTGCCAGGCTGGGACCCTAAAGCCAGCAAAACCTTGCCTTATCCTGCTTTGGGTTCCAGGTTCAAGGTGTTTGCTGACTACGAGGCCTACATTAAATGCCAAGGCCAAGTGGACAAGCTGTTCATGGTAAGAGCTGCCCACCACTGAGGTGGGACAGGGTCTGTGGTCTTGGCAATGCAGTGGGGAGACTGGGGAGGGACGGGGATGAGTGAGCTCCTGTGGAGCCCTTCTTCCAGACACAACATCATGGGCATGGCTGAGGCAGGTTCTGCTGCTCTAGCAGCCCCACACCACAGTGTTTAAACAAGCCACATGTGTGTGCCCAAAGCTGTGCAAGGCCAAGAGCTGGGATAGAGCCAGGGACAGGAGCAAGTTCTGACATTGCCTCTCCTCTTGCCAGGACCCCCGGGAGTGGACTAAGAAAGTCATCAGGAACATTGCATGCTCGGGCAAGTTCTCCAGTGACAGGACCATCACGGAGTACGCCCGGGAGATCTGGGGGGTGGAGCCGTCTGCCACAAAGATCCCCCCACCCAACCTCCCAAAGGATTGATGCAGGGGGCAGGAGGGAGAGACGGGCTCCCAGCCCAGGCGGCCTCACCTGTACTTCACTGCCCGTCCAACGGGCTCAGCTCTGCAGGGATGAGGCCTTTTGCTCAGGGGGTAGAAGGATGCTCTGAGGAGCCCTGTCTGAGGAACGGGAGCTGGGGGAGAGGAGAAGGGACCCTGTGTCTGCACCCATGTATCCAGCCTGCATGTGCTGCATAGTGCTTCTAGCGAGATGACCACGGATCAGTCTTCCACAGCTTAACAAGGGCTTTCCATCTCAATCCTCCCCTTTCCCTCCGCACGCAGCCTCGCCTGGCCTCCTCGGCCCTGCCCAGAGGCAGGTTTACTGAACACACTGTGCGTCTTGCGCCCTCCAGTGGGTCTGTCAGCCCCAATGCTAAAGGGGGCCTCTCTGGTCACCCCCTTCCCCAATAACATTTAGAGACAATGGGGCTGGCCCCAGTGCAGGTGTCAGTGCCACAGGAAGAGACATCTCGGGGAGCAGTGACTTCCTCAACCCAGAGCTTGCCATAACCTCCTCCACACCTCTTTGTTAACCAAAAGCCCAGTAACGAAGCCACTCCAATGTAACGAAGCACCTGCCAATGCCAGTGGGATGGGCCCAGGCATGCTCCTGGCTCTGCAGGCACTGCTGTATGCTGAGTGCTGGCTAGGGGTGGATGTCTATCACTTCTCTTCATCCCTCCATAGCTGGGTCATGCTGCGCCACGTGTCCTCCCAGTGCTGGGGCCAGTTTAACACCAGTAGAGCTGTGTAGTGCACCAGTACTCCCTGTGTGACACAACTCATTAAACCGACCACAACACTTGCTGGTCTGACTCCACCTGACTTGTGACTGCTCCACACCTGGGTTCAGGCCACAGTGGCCTTCCCCTGATGTGGCTTCATGGGATGGGGTCATGGCAAGTGGCACCATCATGCCCACAGCAAAAGGTCAGTCTTGCCAGTGCATGGGGAGGGAGCTAGTAGCAGAGGCTGCACCCAGCTATAGGCACAGAGCTGTTACCTGCACCCTGGTGCATTGACTGGATGGAGTGGGGCAGAGGCTTGCCCTGCAAATGGCACACCAGGCTCCTGTGCTACGAATCCCTCTGGCAACTCCCATTTCTCTCATCCCCAGAGAAGCAGAGCTTGGGTTGCAGGCACAAAGCCACTGGGCTCCAGGTGAGCCCGTCACTGGCAGCATGAGCCCCTCACTGGCAGCAGCCACCAGGACCTGTCCAGCCCCAGCTCCAAGCTCCACTCCCTTGCATTACTGCAGCCCTGCCATGCACCCAGCCAACCTGCCCCAAACCTGCCAGGGAAAAGGGGCACAGCTGCAGTGGTCAGCAGTCAATGCCTTTATTAAAACTACACCACTTGTAGATAAACATTTCAGTGTAAATTTCCAAGCATCTCACTGTCCTGCTGGGAATGGTGGTGTGGCATCCCCACCACCAGCAGTTGAGCACACTGGACCCTCAGCTCCATCACACGAGAGGAAGGCAGACAGGCTCTGCCCCGAGCCAGCTGCCAGCAGCAGCACGAGCTGGAATGTGCACGGCACTGTCCAGAGCCAAGTCAGTGTTTCCCTCCTGTCAGTGCAATAAATACAAGTGCGTCAAACGTGATCCAAGTGGCAGTTAGCTTTTGAGTATCATGGGTCAGGAACCTCAGGGACAACCACGCTATGGCAGAAGAATCTCAGTACAAGAACGAGCTACTGTCTGCTTTGCAACTACTGTAAGCCTGCAGGTAGAACCTGGATGCATGCTGGGCAGTTTATACTACAGTGATACATCCCTGAGCAGACCCTTCAAGGCAGCACAGTTCACTGAGCATGACTAAACCTACAGCACCTGGCATTGTCTATATGGACTGATCAGTGGCATCAACCAGGCCCTGTTCTAGCCCCAGGAAGGTGAAGGACACCTTCTCTCTCTGTGGGAGAGGCTAATTTCCACTTCTGCCTCCTGGACAGTATGCTCTGACCATGGCCATGAGATGGGCTAAGAAGTGCTATTGAAAGTGCCTGGGATGCCCAGAGCACAGGAGAGAGGTGGAGGGAGAGAAGGGGAAGGACACTCAGACTTATTTTTGCATCAAGAGCTACGTACCACTGCCTGCTTTGAAGCACAGCAGAACAGTGCAGCCACCAGGAACAGGAATACCTGACCTTCAGTTAGTTAAAAGGCAGCTGAGGAAAAAAGCCTACCCTTCTCACACAGAGGAAGCACATGTCTGCCCGGGTGCGTACAGGGAGAACAGAACACATCCATTCCTGGGGAGATCAAGCAAAAAAGTTATCTCACCCTTTCCAGCTTAAACTTCCAAGTTTGCAATTTATCCACAGAAGTTGCTTCAGTCCTAAGAAGAAGTGCATGTGAGGAAGGAGAACTCCACAGACCATAGCAGGGATGGGAGCAGAAATGGTGTTCAGAAGGAAAAGGGTATAGAAGGTAAAAGGGCACTAACCTTTTCCATTAAATAAACGTCTGAAAAGGAATAACAAAAAAACCCATCTTTCCTTCCATTTCCAAACGTGTGCAAGGAGCTCAACACTTGCAACACCTTGTGACTGAGGAGCTAAATAAAAACCTCTCTCAGCACCTGGACCTTCTGAGTTTGTAATTCCAGCCACGTGGCAAAAAGGAAAGGCAAAACATGTATTTCCTAGAAAGAAAACACCTCAAACTCAAGCAAGACAACTGCAGTCTGGAGGCACGGTAAAAGCCATTCACCTACAAATGAGTCTCTACATGATTCAAACCAGCAGCAGTGTTTAAAGGTGAAACACCCTGGGTCATGACACACAGGTCTGAGGAATGTCTGTCCACAGCAGTACCATGCTGCACTGGCCAGGCTTCCTTGTGCTTCTGTTCTTCATGGTTTGATACTGGCTGGTATCACCCCTCCACATCCACATCAGAAAACAAACCAACAACTTCTTTCTCCTTCCATGATGCCAGGGGCTGGAGTTGCCAAGGATACACAGCAGGACTGGAGTTGGAATCCCTGAGCTCCTCTAGCGCCAGGGATGGAAGAATGGCAGACTGACCCACGGGGAGGGGGAGGAAAAGGAGGGAGAAGAAGGGAAGAAAGGAAAAATCTCTGTGCTGCCAAGCAGCTGGTCTTCAGTGATGATGCTCTTGTTCAGATTTTCCCAGGAATTCCCTAGGAAAGGAAACGACACAGCAGTGACACTCAGCTCTCCTACACTCTGGTGCAAGCTGCAGCCTGCAGGTCTTCCCATTTCCCTGGCAAACAGGGCTGAAGCAGTTGCAGCTACAGGAAAGAACCCTGAGCAGTGCTCCCCTATGCTCCCACCGCAAGAGTCAAGCAGGAGTAGCTGCTCAAGATAACTCCTCCAGAGCATCCTGCTCTGTGCCTCCCCTTCCCAAATCCTGCTTCGCAGGAGAGCTTTGTGCTAAGCCAGCCCCTCTGAAGACCATAGCGTCTCCAGTTGCCCAATACAAGTGCCTGTTGCCCATCTCTCTTGCTGCTTGGTGTGTGTCCCAGTGTGCCCCAAAGCCCCCCCAGGAGGAGGAGTCCCTGTTTAGCTGGGCTGTTACCGCAGTATTCGAGGTAGCTCTGGACTCCGGTAGATGTACTTGTGCCGGTAGCCGAGGTCTGTGTGGAACGGCACAAACTGCACCTTGTAGTCTCGGAAACTCCGCGACGTTGCAGCGATGTTGTAAAGCTGAGACCAAGGGGAGGCAGGTGAGGGACACTTGTCACCCAACCCAGCTACCCCATCAAACCAGCACCCCTCTCAGGGTGGGTTATGGGCCCTGCCTGCACCCACTTTGCTCTAGCACCATCTATGCTCCAGTACCATTTCACTACTGATCTGCCACTTCCAACACCACAGAATTTCCAATCCCTTCCAACTATGCATTTCTACATATTCCTATTGCTGTCTTTTTCCCTAGCTGGGATGTTCCATCCACACCAGCTCCTCCTACCAGATCAGTTTGCCAAGTCAGCATATGTGTACCTTCTTTCCCAGATGAAATGGTACCACGGGGTCATCCTCAGCATGAAGGATGAGCAAGGAGCAGGAGATGTATTTCACACTGTTAAGAGAGACACCAATGTCACAAAGGCTCAGAGCAATCCCATCATTCTCCAAGACCAACACACTTAGATTTTCAAGGAAACTGCAATGACAAACATGTCCTGTGGGTCATTACCTGCAGCTCAGATCCTGAAAGCACTATTATCTGGGCACCATTCATTTGATCTATAGAAAATCTTACTAGTGGAAGACATCCTTGTAAAAGCTATTTACTGTACAAAGCAGAGCAGAGTGGCTCACCCCACTGCAAAGCAGCATCCCCCGAGCTTCAGTTTGGTTTCAGTACTGGAAGCAAACTCAGAAGTGCTCAGGCTTTTGAATAAAATGCCCAGTGAAGAGAGACAATGTTATTACACACAGAGGGACTTATACAAATACACAGCAATGTCCCCAAATCTTCAATGTCTCAATGTAACATACACTTGAAAAGCATGAATCACATGGCCCAAATCAGCATACCCCGAGTACTCTCCATTGCATCTGTCCTTATTAAGAACAATTAAAAAGGAAAGAGCTCTACAGTGCAAAAATGTGTTGCACTCAGGGCTGCAAGAGGAACTGAAAACCCTTCAGCAAGTATAATGCTTCAACAACAAGAAATAGTAAATCAAAAAGCAGAGAGTGCAGGCTGATGTCTATGTCCCCTGATGCTTGCCACAGCTCCCTGCAGCACCAGCCAAACCCCAGCAGAGACAGTACTCACTTCTCATCGTTTGCGAATTTAATTCCACTTGTCGTGATGGGGTCAAGGAAGAACCAGTCAAACCCAGGGAAGTATCTGTATATCTGAGAGGAAAAATGTGCATTAATGGCAGGCACCAACAGGACATTTACACAAACAGCAGTAACATGGTCCCTATTTCCACCAGCATTATTTTTCCACTCCTGTTTCAGGCCCATCTTAGCAGCCTGCTCAGGAGCAAGCTCTCTTGTATGGTCAAGGTCTCCAGGTACCACACTGCTGCTGACAACAGTCTTCCTGGGAGAGCGCTTTATCCCAGGGCACCTCACCAAAGAGCAGCCATGCCGGCTGGAAGAGATGGCCACATGAGTGAACTCACCAGGGAACCCACACAATGGGCAAGGGGCCACATAGATGGGGACTAAGAGAAGCCCAGATTTGCCATCACTATGCTCACAGCCCACAAAACAGCCTCCTGCAACAGAGAAGCTACAAGAACAGGCTGTACACTGCTGAGAGCAGAGTCCATCCTCCTCTCCCTACATTTATTGCCCTTTCTGATCCCAGTTTGTTTGCTTGAAGCATGCCCCACACATGCTTTGGTACTGCTTATTGGACTAGTGCTGCCAGGAGCTGCCTTAAGTGCAGCTCTTTACCCCTGATGCTTATAAATATCATTGCTGCCCCACAAGCTGTGCAGTTATTGATCTTCTGAATTACTCTTCACTTCTGAAAATTAATTTCTAAGTATACAATTACATGCTACTAGTGTAAGAGCCACTGTGTACTTGCCACAGAAAAGGGATGACTTCGTGCCTCCTCCCGTATGTTGGTGAAAGGAGATTCCAGGATCAGGGCATCTGGGGGTGTTTCTGAAAAGCCAAAGGTAACATGCTGAAATGCAGGTGTGCAGACAGACAGCAAGGTCAGGGTCTGCCTTGTGAAAGCCCCTGCCACCATGGTGTGCCAAGGACAGCCTTGTCACTGCACAGGCGTGTGTGGAAGCCTGGGACACTAGCAGGATCCAGGCTGGTGGGAAAGGCATCCACCCCCCAGACTTACCTCTCTCGCAGAGGCGCCTCACTAGGTTTGTTGCAACCCTGGAGAGAACAAGAACGAACAGTTAATGTGGTGTAGTCCCTCTGCAAAGTACCAGGCTCCAGTGGTAGCAGGTGGCAGAGGTATGACTCAACCGCCTTAACATCACCCACTCATGCTGTCTGGGGTTCCCAAAGGGGAACACCCAACTGTCTGCAGGAGCATTAGGTGCCTGCAGTTAGGTACACGAACAAGTCCCAGGGTGACACTGCAAGGAGCTCCCATAGCTGAGGAAGAAAGGAGCAAATCTCCCCCATGCATCTTTGTAACGGGACAGGGATATTTCCAAAGTGGTTGAATCCTCCAGGCACAGCATATTTCAAAATGCTCAGACTCCAGACTGGCTGTGGGCACCAGGGAACTCAGCTGAGGACCACAGTCCCAGGCCACTCAGGCTTCACTGCACTGGGAAATATCACCAGCACAATGTGATGCAAAAGGGATCCTGAACATGGCAAGAGCCAAAGGGAAAGTTTTTGCCTTCTCTCAAACAAAGCAGTGTTCAGTATCACAGCAATGAAGAGGCACTATCTTGAAACACCTCCCCCTGCCCCAGGCACACAGCTAGTGGACAGCAGGACAAGCTTTTGTGGTCTCCAGCAGTTTAATGGACACACAGCTCAACTCAGAAGGAATTCTTGTGTTAGCCCTATGCTCCTCTGCAAATCAGGGGGGTAAGAACCCCCGCTGCCGGCTGAACACAACCCACCTCTGGGCAGCAATGTAGGAAAGGTAAGTTAAAAACATGCAGGCAAAGACATTTGACACTTTGCCACATAAACATGGAAAACATTTTATAAGGGTAAGTCATGTGCATGTGCAGCTGGTGTGAAATATTCAGAGTATCAGAGAAGCCCAGTGTCCTGCTCTGAAGGACATCTAGCCTAGGTTCCCCACAGGAAGAGATCAGTGCAGTCCCACTTCCTCTTCCCCTGGTCAATCTGCATTATATTGTTCCAAGTGTCTTTTTTTCCAGTGTAACCCCCTGGGCAATGAAGGTTCCAGATCAATTCCTGCACAGTCATTCACTGTAGCCCTTCTCATGCTGTAGAGTGCAAAGGAGAGGCTACTCTGCAGCAACGATGCCACAGACCCCCAAGCCAAGCCAGCCTCCACCCAAGGCCAGTGTTCTCCAGAAGCTGCTATGTCCCTCTGAGATGAGATGCTTACCCTGTGCCCAAGGAGTGTCCCCATATATAGACAGGGTTGTCTCCACTTCTTGCTTTGATCCAGTCAAAGACATGAAGGGCGTCATAGGTCATCCCCCTCTCTGATGGGCTGCCTATTGAATCGCCCCAGCCTGAAACACAAACAGTCCCTCTGAGAGCCACACAAAGGGATCAGCAAAGCCAGGCAGCAACAACAAAGCCAAGAGCTGGATCTCAAACACTGCCACACTGTGCTCTTGCACCTACCCATCCGCAACAGTCTTGCTCCCAAACCATGGCTTCTTTGGCATGCGTGTAACCAGTATGTAAGTGGAGTCACTAAGAGCATAAGAACTGGAGACATAGGGTCAAAACCCAAGCACATTTCACAGAGCTGCTGCAACATCAGTTTGTCCATGCTGTTCGATCAATGACCTCAAGCAATTTTCCCCCTCCTGACTAGTTTGGCTCTATCACTACTGCTGCATGTCTACACATCTTATGCTAAGCAGCAAGCAGCTCACATCCCTTCTGATACCTAATAAGCAGCCACAGAAGCAGCTGCCAGCAGGACTGAAAAACAGGGCAAGCTCCTACAAATAAACCTCTCCCAGATGCCTTCTTGATTAAAATGCAATGGATTAATTTCTTTTCTGTATCTGCAGTGGCATTACACTGCAGCCATTGCTTAAAGACTAAGAAGGGAAAAAAGAGCAGCAGAAGCTTGACTGCTGGTGGCACAGGGTTGCAAAACAGCCATGGCTCCTGCTAGGGAGTTACCAACTGCTAGTGAATCATTTACTCCATGTCTTATCTCACCTATTAGCTTTTAAGTGCAAGTTCAATTCACTGTGTGACCTCAGGAAAGTCAATTAGCTCATATCCTAAAGACTACATCTAGGCAAGTTACTAGTTTCCAGATATGCACCTTGGTGGATGCCTTAACTGGATGTTGTGACAGCAAATGTGCCTGGTCACCCTCTGCTCCTCAGCTCCCAAATCAATGAGCCCTAGGTATGAGGACAGACAGGAGCCAGAGTCCACCAAGCTGGACATCAGAAAGTGGTGCTACACAGGAAGGCACCGGAAAGAAATTTCTGGAAGTTCTTTGGAAACCCATTAGGAAAACAAGAAGCAATAACCACAACTGATCATCTGGCATGAAGTGTTTATGAAACAGCTCCCCTAAGAGCAACAAAAAAGGAGCAAATTCTCTGTTGCTTCTACAGAAAGAGACATCTAGAACTGTTCCATAATAAAAGAAACCCACATACCTCGATAATCAAACGTGACCACATGGTACCCGAGGGAGCTGAGAACCTGGAGGGCAGAGAGACATGCAGAAACCCATCATAGAGACTTGCACAGCAGCCGAGCTCTTGCCTCAGTGCAGGGATCTAATTTACAACATTATCAGCCTGATGTGGTGAAGCAACAACTTAACACCTTTTCTGTGGACCAGGCACAGAGCTTTTTAAATATGAATCATCTCAGCCCACTCCATTCATTTCCCGGACCTCATATCAGGCTTAGATGTTGACTCTCTTTAACAGCTTTGCCCTTAAGATCCACAGACATCCCATGAATGGTTCCTCTACAAACACTTCCACGTTTTTCAGTGGAACAACTGCTTCATTTATATTGTTCAAACGGGCATAAATGTCAACGTAATACAGAGGAGCACATGTCAGGTTTCAGAAGGCTTAAATATATACATCCAAAACAGACAATTGATCTGTCACGAAGATGTATGTTACAGGCAATGTTAATACTAACTAAATACGTTAAAAGCAAGAAAATATTAGATCAGCTTGCTCAGAGAAAGTGCCTTGTTAAAAACAGTGCTACCATTTCAAACTAGCATTGTGCAGCATGAACCCAAGAGCTCTGTGAGAGATAAAAATCAACACAAAAATACCAAAATATTGTTGCTTTCATGGTCTGTGTGTGATACATGACTGAAATAAAGCAATCTCAGCATTAGACTACACTCTACACCTTCTAATGGACTAAAGGAAATCATCTAGTCACTTTATTTCTGGTGTAATTGAAATCTTCACAGCCTGAACAGTGACTGTTACTAGGTCAGATCACATGAGTGCAGTACAAAGAAAAGGAGGACAACAGAAAGGCGGGGTGTTCAGGTAAGCTGGCAATTCAACTCCTTTGTTGGGAGGGCTGTGCTGGTGATGGATTCCCTCTGGGATCCATCCAGGGCTAATTTTCACACATTTCAGACATGCACTGGATGTTTCTTTCTCCTCACTGGTCTGTGTTTCCATGTTACCTCCTGCTCACCCTTGCTGCACTTGGTTCTGTCATTTCTTGGCACTATCCATAGGATTATGCTACTCCACTACCCCTCCTTTATATTAGCAGATGCAACTGCAATTCCTTCAAAGTCCCTTCACTTTTTGCTATTCAGGTCTCTTCAAGCAACTCCTGTGTCTCTTTCCTTGACTCCAAATCCTTCAATGGGGACAAGGTCAATACTGTGTGCACTGCCAGGGCAAAGGCCCTTTACAGCACAGGTATTAGATATGTATTTTTTCCACTCTGGGATCTGCACTCCCAAGTTACTGTTTCTTCAACACCCTCTTGAAATAACTATTCCACCATCAGAGAGAGATGTGGTTACGTGTACACAACACCACAGGACAGAATACCACTGCAACCTACAGAACAACAACAGAATAATCAGGTAAAGTATTAATTAACAAATGAGGTGCTGTTTTGATCAGAAGCACTGTGTACCATTTTTGTATGTTCACTTACACACTGGACCCCCTGACTGGACATGCAGAACACAAAGTTCCTTCTTCAAAGTTTGGTTTTTAACTTCCCAAGGTGATTTTACTGCTAAGATACCACATACAATCTCTCCTTTTCCAAGCCATTAAAAGAAACCTGTTGACAGTTAACCTGTCTTGTACTCTTGTGAAAGTATTCGTGGCAAAGGACCTGGTTAGCTCAGCTGGAGCTGACAGTTAACAACAGCAAGTTGTTAACTTGCTGAAAAGAGCTTTCGAATATCTTTTAATATGGCAATATGCTCCTGGCTTACAGACCCCTCTTCCCATACATGCTTCATACCTAGAGGAGACTCAGAGCCCTAAGCTATCTGCCTGTTGGGGGTGAGCTGTACTGAGCAGTCTTCACACACCTACACACATCTGAGGTGTTAATGCAACTGCTTGGACAACATGTGCAGGCACTTACCTTGTAAAGCTCCACACGGTGATCCCCTCCTCTGGCATCAGCAATTCATGAAGAGAAGAGGAGAAACAAAAGGCCCCACAAAACAAACAAAAAGAGCCATATGTGAACATTTAAGCCTCCAGAAACAGACTTCTCCAATCATCACAGGCTTCCAGGTTAACACAAACATGCCAAACCTAAGAAATACCAGAAATGCTTTGTCACAGGTTTCAAGGAGACACCAAGGCTTTGCTGACCTATGCAGGACATGGTTTTGAAGTCAGCTTCTCTCTACAGATCTCTCAGCTGGTAAAAATGAACTTTTCAACCCACCCTCTCTACTTGCCTCTTCCTGTAATACATCCAAAGCAGCTTGGCCCTGTTGGCTTTGCAGATACTTGCTCCTACCACCAGTAACTGCTGCTCCATAAGGTGCGATGCTGTCTTCAGGACTCACCATGTTAACCCAACCTGCTGGCCCTGGGATTTTCTCACCTCGCTCCAAGCACAGGGACAGAAAGGACATGTGCAAAAGACTGAGCAGAGGAAACCACAGTTGAACATTGCAAGTCCAGGGAAAGAAACTCCTTTAGTATTTTTGGTCTTGTTTTGAGGTTTTTTGTTTTGGCCCGTGCAGTCTCTAAACCAAAATGCCACTTCCCAGTCGTGCCTCTAAGAACACATGCACTTGCCAACCAAAAGCTATCAGCTCCAACTGTTCTACAAAATACCTGATGCAGCCAAAAACACAAGGGGTTGCTTGTAAGTACTTCTGAATCATGTAAGGCTGAAGAAGATACACTTGCTTAAAAAGTCACCCTTGACATCCCTGACATCTCCTCTCACTACAAGAGAGACATTGAGGTGCTGGAGCAGGGCCAGAGAAGGGCAATGGAGCTGGAGCACAAGTGTGATGAAGAACAGCTGAGGGACCTGGGGGGTTTAGTCTGGAGAAGAGAAGGCTCAGGGGGTACCTTATTGTTCTCTACAACTGCCTGAAAGGAGGATGGAGCCAGGAGGGGGCTGGTCTCTGCTCCCAAGGAACAAGGGATAGGACAAGAGGAAATGGCCTCAAGCTGCTCCAGGGGAGGTTTAGGCTGGATATTGGGAACAGTTTCTTCCCCAAGGGGCAGTGAGGCATTGGAACAGGCTGCCCAGGGCAGTGGTGGAGTCACCGTCCCTGGAAGTGTTCACAAACTCAGACAAAGCAGAAAGCCAAGGCAGTGCCTTTTACTTATGGCTGATGCAGCCTGCATCAGTAGAGCAGCCCTTTGACAAAAGACAGAATATGCAGTGGAGAAACATACAGTAATATACATAAAAGCTGAAATGGCAAAGGCAATACACTTCCAGCTTCCCCAATACACAAAGTGAAATGTGAAATATGTAATCGATCCATAGCTCAGGACTTTATCCCAATAGCACTTGGAGAAGCAAGAAGTAAATCTAATCAATATGCACGTAACAGAGATACTGGTCCCAAATTACCACCATTAAGCTGCAGAATAGCTTCCATTAGTAGCATTTGCTACACCAAGTAAAGGCAAGAAAACAGGCAAAGCAGTATTAGAAAAACAATGCAACAATTTAATTAAACCTTGAAGGTAGGGTCAGTTTTCAAAAACCCATCTCCTCGTGCATTTCCTGGCTCACAGCATGCATCTTCCACACCATGCCCTCATACTAAAGAGCACTGCTACAGCAAGAGTTTAGGTGAAAAAGGGCAGTGCAAAGGCTAGTGAATCTTCACTACCAGCACAGCTGAAACAGTTTCTTTGCGTTGTATCACAGAACTTGTATTTCTGCAATGCTTCTGCTCTTGCAGCGTATCTATGAGCAGACATCAGCTTCAGAAGATCATGCACTGGCACTCCAAACTCAGAAAGGGGCTGATACTAGTAAGGAAAAAGAACACATTCTAATAAATGAACTAAAGCACTCTATCGTGCAGAGATGTGTCAGGAAGAACATGATTCTGAGAAACAACTAAGAAGTTTCTAACATGCTAATGTTTTCTAAGGATCCAGCAACAAAGTATAGAGAACCCATCTACTTCTCTAGCTGATACACATGATCAACTACAGAATTACAAGTTTTAGAAATGCTCCTGTTCCAGACAAACATCCTGCACATATGCAATCATGAAACAAGACCATTACCAAACCAAGCACGTTACCTTCCTCTTTCCTTCTGATTTTGCTTCCTCAGAATGTGTTAACTACCAAAAGAAGCCCACAAAAGGAACTCGGAAGTTTATTTACTGATGTAAATCACATATACAGAAGCAGTAATCCTATCTCTTGATTCAGAGACCACTACACTGAAAAGAACTAATTCTCCCTAGCTGATCCAGTAAGTGTCACAGCCTCCTGGCAGAAGATACAAGGTAGACTACAATATCAGGTAGCTCTAGTAACTGCGAGAAATCTATTCCCACATTCAACAAATGGAGAGGCATCATTTCTTAAAGCATGCTTTCCTTTACAAAGAAAGGAGTAGCACCAACCTGCTTTTAGCATTTATTCTGGTTTTAATCATAGAATAGTTCAGGTTGGAAGGGACCTTTAAAGGTCATCTAGTCCAACCCCTGCAATAATCAGGGACATTTTCAACTACAGCAGGTTGCTCCAAGCCCCTGTGTCCAACCTGGCCTTGAACACTGCCAGGGATGGGGCATCTACCACCTCTCTGGATGACCTGTGCCAGTGTTTCATCACCCTCATCATAAGAAGCCTTCTTCCTTATATCTAGTCTAAGTCTATCCTCTTTGACACCAGAACTCCTTGCCCTATCACTACAGGCCCTACTAAAAAGTTTGTCCCCATCCTTCTTATCAATGTACCAAAGCTGCAGCAAGCCAGGAAAACACAGCATGAAACAAAGGCATCACTTTTTATGCCTCACCTTGTTCCTGCATTCCCATGCAAGTAGAGGATTACAGGATGGCTGGATCCCAAAGCATCTTCGAACCACAACTGGTCCTTCCCTCGGGCATTCTTCCATAATGCTGCAGGAACCGTGTGCCTGTAGACAGCAGGAAAATGTACATTGTCAGATACTCAGTACCTGCCATTTTAATGTTGAGTTCTTCTGATCAGCTCATTACCTCAGGATTACACCCCCCACACACGCTCTTCATAGAACTGTCAGGAGTACCAGATGAAGGGCCAGATTTAAAAGGCAGTACCCAAGGTTATTTCTGTATTTTCACCTCCCATCATGGTTGGCTTCAAAACTCAGGGCTGTGCAAGGTACCAAACCTCACAGGCAAACCCAAAGCACAATTACTGAATTGCCACTGTTCTGGAGAAAGAATCTCAGTTCCTCAGCTTTTATGACATTTAATTTCTTCAATTAACATACTTATACACCACAAACAAGATGGACAACTAGGTCAGCAGATGTCCACCATAATCTAAGTCAGTTGGCTTTGGAAAGAGTGTTCAGTAAGAGGCATATCTGAGTCTGAGGAAACCTGAGGAAAAAGAGGAGCTCAGAGTCTGATGAGAAGATCGTGTATTTTGTTTTCAGACACCAGATTCTTGAAGGTAAAACATTTCAGCTGGAAAAAGTACAATCTAGAAGAGCCAGGAATTTTTAACTCATGGCTGTTGTTCTGTAGATGATATAGCTGGGCAGCCTGTTAGAAAGAATCAGCACGGATGGAATGGAAAAACAAATGACAGACTAAAGAGAAGGTAGGGAGCTTATGGATCAGGGTCAAAGGAAGA